CTGAAAATAAGAATCGTTGTTTTCCTTACCTCAAAATTGAATTAAAATTTCTACATTTCTACAGACGCCTTCCTTGGCATCCATCGTGTTTAACTATCATGTTTCTACAGTAGCCCAGAACAGACAAACCCAACACTGGCTCTAAATAGGGCCTTTTGCATTTTTCACTGCCACCGTACTTTTTCATCTTTGGGCTTGGCGGTAGGAATCAAGTATTTTCAAGTCAAAAAGTCCAACTGAAGTCCAGAGTCATTGCTGTTAAAGTCAGTTTTGATTTTGTCAAGTTGAGTTTAAAGTCATCACTCCACATCTCTGCTACACACATGTTTAAGTAAGTGTAACATTCCAGTGTTCAATTTCAAGGCTATAACAATTATATTCTAGGCTTATAATGAATGATGCAGTGTGAATGTGTGTCATCTTTATAGCAAAGACACACATGATGCTTTTTGTATGAAATGAGCAGACTATAGTGGAGAGGCTGCCAGTCTTTCTGCTAAGGATCTTGTTTGTTTATACACTCTCTCTCTCTTCCTCTGTGTGTGTGTGTGTGTGTGTGTGTGTGAGTAAGTGTAGGTGTGTGTGTGTGGGTGTGGGTGTGTTTTCCAATTCAAGCGCCCAGAAATCTCCTGGCAGGAACATAATCTCAACCGTTTGCATTCTCTCTGCAGTCGGGAGTCATTTTCTGTCTCCTGCTGCAGATCAGTGTCCCATTTAACACAAACAACATTTCAACAGCAAAACACGAGACATTTTTTTTCTGCAGTGCGCGCGTTGTTCATCCACCTGTGCCCCCGCCCGCCTGCCTGTGTACGCGCGCCCGCTGCATGCGCTCGCCGGCCGCGCGCGTCGCTCCTCGTGAATCCTAATAGTGTGTGTAGAGCCGCAGAGCTGGGTGGCATCGCTGGGTGCCCGACCGGTGCTAGACTGGAGCAGCAAGTCCACTACGAGCCGTTAGTGAGGATACAACCGCTTGTTCCTGGGAGTGCGCCATTCCTCACGTTTGGATACGGAGTTTATGTTTATTATTGCGCTGCTGCTCATTATTATCGACTATTTTAATTTCTTTGAGGACATTCGGCAGATCAGTGTCTTTTCTAGCGAGTTGGATTGTTTTGATCTGCTTCTGCTGTCTACTTTTAGTTCTCAGCAGATTCTCCTTCCAGGGCAGATATTATCTTCTGGTGCGTCAAAAGCTGCGCGGCTCGGAGTTTCCTAACCGTTTTTTATTCGCAGGGAACTTGTCTCCAGTCGCTGTAAGTGTGTCTCATGTTCCTCTCATTACTCAGTCCCCACAGACAGTCTCACATTTGCACGGAGCGCCTTTCATTTGGGAAGAATCCGTGTTTTAGTTGAGTCCAGGGTGTGTGGGATGGAGAGCGGAGCAGCCCTGCGTCAAGTTCAACGCAGAGAGCCAGAGCAGGACCGGAAGTTGTGCGGCTATATGTACAAATTAAAAGCACAGATTTATGAGCAGTAAATTAAATCCTAAATGGAAAAGGTGCTCAGCCGTTTATAATGTGACAATATTGTGATGATTTAAGTGGTTGAGACAAAATGAATGGAAATAATATATATTGTGCACACCAATCGGATCCACTATCATCAAATCCCTGCTTGGTTATAGAAGGTTTAAATTTGAGAGTCCTTTTAAAATGCCTCCTATATAGAGTTAATGTTATTATGTTTTCATCTCTTACTCTCATTTAACTCATCCTCACTGACAGGAAAATGTTTAAAACTCTCCCGGAACGCATTCATACCTCCACTGCTTCGATTTATCCCTGTACGCACACACAACACGCACTGAAGTCACCAAAGCAAAGCTTTAATTTTGACAGTCTAAACCGGAAGCGGTGATTTTACCCCCCTCACTCTTCACTCTGGTCCCTCGCAGTGACAGGGAGAAGTCTCGATCGGAGGCTCGCCACCTGGCGATGCGAGTTTTTTGAGTTGTGAGGCGTCTCCAGGTGTTAGTCTATTCCCACCGCCGTTAATCTGCGCTCTCTGTTTCTCTCTCTCTGCACAGAGACTTCACTGACCATGTGTGACTTTCCGTGGTGAGAACGGGACGCCCGCTCTGTGAAACAGCGCCGGATGGATGGATGGATGTGTAGGTTCTAGGGCGCGCTGGAATAACACAGTGAACTGACAGAGCATCTGCTCGGCTCTTTTGTCTGGAGTTTGGTGGGTTTTTTCTCTGGAATTGTTACATTTTAGCGGTGGGAACGTGCAGCGTTTATTCCTCAGGCTCTGATCACCTGCTATGTGTCTGGTGTGGAAAATACCTGGCGGAAGGTGCACAGCGGGATCCAGTCTGGGAGGACAGGACATCTGCAACTGATAAAGCTCCGTTTCTTCTTTATTTCCTTTTTTTTAACCTGTGCGTAATGTACGTGGAATGAAGACAGAGGATGGATATAATTTGGGAAATATTGATCATCCTTCAAGCCAATTTTATCGTCTGCATATCAGGTGAGTTATGGGCGTCGTTGGTGTCTTTTGGGCAGGTGCATCGGATAAATCTGTGAATGAATTATCTTTAACTTTTCCCAACATTCTGTGGTGTGACTGCTTCAGTTTGGGACTCATTGTCAAGAAATGCTCCTCAGGGCGCACTGTGATTAGAAAATTGCAAAACGCGCCTTAGTTTGTGAGCCTGGCATGGAATAATCCTTGTTTTAGTCTCTGGTTACCTATACATCTTTCAGCGTGTGTGTGTGTTTGTGTGAGACAGTGTGTGACTCAAGACAGCCACCGTGTAGCCTCCAGGACTGGATGCGCAGGCTTCTGACGCACGCATGACATGGGTGGGCTTTTTTTAATGCAAGCTACAGTGAACGCCTAGGATTGTTTTCGTGCGTTTTTGTTGCTCCGCGGACGCGTTAGCCAGAATCCCCCCTCCACTCTCCTCTCTGCGCTCCAGGAACCATTCAGTCAGAGTTGAGACGGTCAGAGGAAGCAGTTGTGCGCATCGGTGAGCGCACGGCACTCTGCGGTGCGGTGAGCGGATGCGGGGCTGGAGCTGATGCTGTGTTATAACGGCTCTGTGTGCGCCGTGCAGGCAGATGCGTCCTCACCAATGGAGCTATGCATTCCCTCACTTTACGGTGCTCCAGCTGATAGACTTAGACCGATTTTACTCCCTGCTGTTGGTAGTGCGTTTAAACAACTTGTGAATCCAAAACCTTGGAATCTTATTTTTATTCAAATAATGTGGCAGAAATCACACTTTCACCTCTTTCCGCTGTAAATTGCGCAGATGTGTTCAGAGGTGTTTAAAATCAAGGCAGATATTAGTGGAATAATGCTGCCTTTCACACACCGAGGCGCCCGGAGAAGCGGCTTTTTGGATAGTTGTAGCCACACCATCTGAGTGTTTCTCATGAATGTTGAAATGAAATTAGTCAAATGAAATCAGTCAACTTTTTGCATCCGTGCGTGCATAAACGTGGGAATTCACTACGGTGTAAAACTGGTGCGTCATCCACTGTATTTAAGCATTACGCACGCCGGGCTCTCTTTCCCACGTACCTCGGCCCCCCAGGTTGTCAGAGAGGAGTTCATGTGACAACCACCTAACTCTACGTCAGTGGCCGGAAAACACCCTCCACTTTTGATTGGTTTATCCTTAAGAACGTGTTTTAATTGAGGTCAGCCAAGCAGGAACACGATGACTGTCCTTTTTTGGGGAGTTATAAAATTAAAAGGGCTAAATTGGTAAAGGGCTAGACGGTAGATACTGTATGTTCTTGTTCCACTGACTCCAGCTTCAGGCTGTCTTACCAAGAGAGCTTCCAGGTGGTGAATATAAATATTTTTTGACTATAATTTACTGTAATATTTAGACAATATCTTTCATCTCAGCTCTTCCCCTAACCACCTTCAGACCCAGCTTCCATTGTAACACACATCAATATAATATTTATTGGTCCCAGCCAATTGTCATCTTTCTAACTTTTATCAGACCTCACTATATTAACATTTACACACAAAGGTCCCATCAGCCTATAAAATAATGTCTTTAATGTCTCCTGTGGTTGTGGAGTCTGAGAGAACAACCCTGAGGATGTTATCCGTTTGGGATACATTATTTGATCGGGCCCAAAAAAGTTAGGCCCAACCAAACCCGAGTGTACAAGCCTGAACCTAGGCCGGACCATGGAAGCTGTTTTGGGCCCAAGCTGAGCCGAACCTGAATTTGCGTTTAAATTAATAATTTAAACAGTTTATTATAAGCTAAACTGCATTGTGCACAAATAAAGTGCAAATTATTATCAAAACTAATAAATAACACATTAATTCTTTAATTACAGTTGCATGGATTATTAGTAAAATCTTAAATATATATATTTTTTAAGAATCTTTCCAAGCCTGACCTTGGCAAAAAAAAAAAAATTTCACACCAATTATACATTTCTATAGAATACATTTTTAAAATGGTAAACAGTCATTAGAAAGTGAGATTCTGATCTTACCTCCATTTTGGCATGCGTTTTAGCCTTGTAGGGTATTGTAGATGTTTAGTCACTTGGTCTGCTAGACCTAGTGTATTTCTGGAACGCATGGTCAAGTTAGCAATGATATATTTGCAAAGTCCTAGTAGACTTTCAAAATATAGCTTGTGTGGTTAATGTTGTGAAACGTTGCATGTTGGTTAGGTTTAGTTGCAAAAACGACTTGACATCCATGAAAATTGAGCTTGACGGTCAAAAGCTCCAGAACAAGCAAGTAGATGCACTTTAAGTGGAGATTGTTTTGTAAATTTCTGGTTCAAGAATGTATAGAAACATTTGAGATCTTGCTGGAGTTTCCTATAACATGTTCCTTTCTTTTGGTGGTCTGAATCCACTTGCACATTTTTACTGCCGCTTACGTCTCGGTTCAGTTTTTGGTCAGGGTGTACCTGCGTTAACCAGATGTCACAGTATGCAATACAAAGTTTGCTAACCTTTAGACCTGTGTGTCCCCTGTACTTGTTGTGTGAGTCACATTTGACATTGAAAATCTTCCTTTGATGAAAGTTTGTTTATTTTAATTTTTTTTGCAAGTATGTGATGGGATGGAGCTTATTTATCAGCTGATTGCAGTGACTGAGGAAGTATTCAGATCCTCTCATTCAGAAAAACTATTAATACTATACTGTACAAATACTCTAATACAAGTTAAAGTTGTGTTTACAAATCAAACTTAAGTAAAAGTATTTAAGTCTTATCAGTAAAATATACTTAAAGGTCCAGTATATAACTAAGTGTGGAGCTCATTTTTATCTATTTTCTATAGGACTGATTATTAGTTAATTAACTGACTAATGATTATTTTCATTATGAATTCAATGGATTCTCCATTGATCGATTGATTGTTTTCGGGATAAAAATAGAAAGTGACATGAACAGAAAAGTACTTCAAAATTTGTACCTAAATACACTTGAGTAAATGTACTTGTAACCGATTGTCATGTAGCTTGATGTCACGTTAAACTAGTGCAGTCTACAGGAATGATAATGATAATTCAGCTCAACCAGACTTCAAGGCAGGCTATTATCCTGCACAGCTGAGCCTGGATTGTGGACATGAAAGTCTCCTCAGTGCCAAGAAGGCTCTCATCTGTGATGTAATCAAGAGGCAAAGCTTGGCGTTGCTCCGATGACAGTGAGCAGGAGACTGACTCCGTGGGCACAGTGACAGCACCCGTAGGGGATTTTCTGAAGAGAAGGAGCTGCAGTCATTATTCTAAAGCTGGGGCTTCCAAAGTCTGACACTGTGCCCATCACATGAACAAACGTCACTAAACTGACATTATACACTTTCAACGTCACAAGACTAATGTGTTATTAAACGGTTGCTTATTCGTCCTGCAGACACGTAGCAGTATTAGTTCCTGTCCACCTGATGAATGTAAGTCCAATATTCACTCTTTTTGCTCTGTTCTGGGCTCCATCAACGTCTTTTGCTGCTTCTGGGACCAGCAGAGTCAAGAGATTCTCTGTACTACCAGCAACATCTTTGACGTACATGTTGAGCCATTGTTAATATAAAGATTTACCAGGACTTGAATAAGTAAAATATTAAGTGGAAACACATCGCTCAGGAATTTAACTAGTTCAATAATTTAACATATACGTTGTCAACCAATTCTAGTTGATATTAATGAGAGCTACTACTTAAGTGCTGTTTGCAATCAGAAGAATATTTTTTGACAAATATGTTGCTGCAGAGGTTTAAAATGTTATTTTCCAACGCTTGCAGCACCATGAACCAAATTGCAGAGGCAGAGATCAGTACTCTCATAAGACCAGAGGTCAAAGGTCAGGTTGAATGGGCACGAGGTCTGGGAATATTTCACCAATACCATTTCCTGTAACATTGTGATGGTTTGCCCTGGCTGTAAATTAAAAAACCTCTAGCTAGGCGGCCCCGCCGGACTGATGTTAATGTAGGGTCAATCTCATCTGGAGTCTCAACTCTCAAACTTCATGTTCAATTTTGATTCGTCAACATCTTTCTATTTCCTCCTCCCCTTCTTTAAAATGAGTGGAGCAAAGATTGTAGCTGTAATCCCTTGTTAATTTGAGTGAATGTTGGTTACAGGAAGCACTAGGGTTTATGGGAATTTATGTCCTATTTTTTGGTGAGTCTTTTTTCCAACAGTGCTACAGGCATTAGATGGAGGGAAGTAATCGTCTTGATGATGATGTCATTTCATTAGAAATTGCTAATTGTAAACCATGGTTTCATGGTTATCTGACAATGGACCTTTGATGTCTACATATAGAACGTTTGAAGTTGAACCTCCTCCTCAGCCTCCGTATTAAACCCTAATGTTTGTTTCATCTGGGTCGTATTCATTTGATCACTGGACGGAGATCAGCTGTAATATATGCTTAATTCTACTGATTGTTACCACCCAAACATCAGCAAAGAATGGTAAATATGAGCCACAGGACTTTTTTCTTTCCATTGAAATACAATCTAATAATAGCCGTGATGGAGGAAGCCTCATCTCTAATGTTTATGTTCCATATATCTGTCTTGGGATTTCACAGAGACAGAGGAAGGCTTAGATGTAGTTCCGACTCTTCAAATGTAATTGTCTTTTTCAAGTAAATTACAAAACATCACAAACATACTTTGGCTTTCAGAGAACACAAAGGCTATCAAATGTTTTTAAATGAAATTATTATTATCATCTAATCATTTATCGTATTGAATAAAAAGATAATATCAATTTCCCATTATTGGCCGATAATTTATCGGCCCACATAATTATTTAATTTCAATTGCAATTTTATTTGTATAGCGCCAATTCATAACAGAAGTTATCTCAGGACTCACTGTCCTAGTAACATCCCTACTTTGATTTCAACATGGTATCTCCCGGAACCTTTAAACTGATGCTCAGGTACCTTGGGGACTCTTTTAGCTCGAACACACAACAGAGGTGAGTAACCTGAACACAAACATTACAACTTACA